AACAAAGTATCAAATAAATTTATTACATATTTAATTTTTTTGGTTAATATAAATCTTCTTAATTTTGTTGTGAATATGTTTTTACTTGTCACTAAAATAGAGCATAGAAAAAACAGACATCATTCATTTTTTCAGTTTTTAAAATATGTATCTTGACATATTTTCTCTTGCCTAATACCAAGTATGCATTTCTCAAAGAGTCCCAAAATCTAGGAAAAAGTGATGCTACTCAGAGAGTGAGGCATAACTGGCTCAATGCTGATCAAAATCTCTCATCTGTGGACTGGATATGACATTGGACTACCGAAACTAACAAATTTTGGGGGGCCGGCCCTGTGGTGTAGCTGTTAAGTGCACACGCTCGCGGCTGGCTTCCCCAAGTTCGGATCCCGGGTGTACACTGACGCACCGCTTGTCAGGCCGTGCTGTGGTGGCATCCCAAATAAAATGGAGGAAGATGGCCACAGATGTTAGCTCAGGGCCAGTCTTCCTCAGCAAAAAGAGGAGGACTGGCATGGATGTTAGCTCAGGGCTGATCTTCCTCACAAAAATAAATAAATAAATAAAATACAATAAAAATTAAAAATAAAATATCTTTTAGCAACTCAACCTGAAGATTTATTTCTTCTTATTTGTAACTTATAACCATTTAACATGTAAAGGATAAAATAGAATTCACTGATTGTATTTTTCAAATCAAAACTTATTGCAATTACTCTTTGCAAACTGAAGGAAAAGCAAAAAAGAGTTTAATGACTTGCAGGAGGGCATGTGATAATGGCACTTTTTATGTCTATAAATGGACTTTTTTCAAGAGGCGTTGAATACACGTGGCTTCTACAGTACTGCTTGTACTATGGCATATGTTTAATAAATTCTTATTGAATGAAAAAATGTATGAACAGGAATTGAAAAGTTATTTTTATCTCTTCCAAAACTTTGAAATACAAGAGTGGAGTTAAATTTCTACCATAATTATCAGAATTAACTTTATTTTCCAGTACTTTATAGTTTTTACAATAAAATACCACTAAATTAATTTATTCTGTTTTTGCATTTCATATGGACTTTTAAATCAAAGTTGTTACTTTTCGATATGTTAAACCTCAGAGGTAGTGAGAGCATGAAGGAAAAAAAGAAAGCTTCAAAGAGTTTTCAGGCTCCAACAGTTTTTGTCTCCTTCTCACAACCACACAGTGTTTTTCCCCAATAGGGTATTACTTTTAATAATACTCGAATTTCTCTTTAGAAGACACACACATAAGTGCTGTTGATGAGAACACGACATACCTAAAAATAAAATATTGCTTTGTTTTTTATAAACTTTGTTTATGTTTGTTTTAAATCTTAGGAAAAAGTACACTGTGAGTCTCCAGAACTGTAAGTGGGTAAATAAAATAAGTACTGCAATTTTTCAAAGCATCAGTGAATGCCAAGAATCTGATATTATCATTCCAGCTTACAGTGCCTAGTTTAAGGGTATTAGTATCCTGTTATTTGCAAAGGAATTTGCAAGGAAACCTAAAACAATTGGAAAAGACAATGGAAAAACGTTATACAGATTCTCGGATGAATCAACTATGATAAAAAACAATTGAATTAGATTGTCTGATGAACTGAAGCTAGAAAAAAAATGCAGAGATGAGAAATCCAAGCTTCCATTTCCTTGTTTTCTTTTATATAATGTGGGCACAAAGTTATTTTCCTCCAAAGATTTTTTCATTGGATTATTTATTTTATACAACTGATACCAAGAACCATTGGAGCTGAAAATGTAGGTTGAAAAAAAAATCGGAGTAACAGAATGGCTTTGCTTACCTATAACGTATTTAGCAAAAGGTGCTACATCTTAAGATAATTTATATGAGCCACTGTGTTGCATAACTCCAGGGAACATCATTTGATGGAATATACTGTGGCTGGTGCCCCCTGGAGTTATGCAGGGGTGCTGAGGATATATACAATCGGTGCTGATTTTGGCTTCAGGAACATTTTCCATGTGTTGTTGTAGTAGGAAAAATATTTTCTAATCTTTCATGGCACTTATGTTTTTTTAACATTCATCACGGTCTATAAACAACGTCAGCACGTCTTAATTTTAAACAGCTTTTTTGCAGAGCTTTAGTCAGAAATAAAAGTAGGAACTTTATAGGCCATAGGAAAGATACTGCCCTGTGCAACAAATTAAAAGTCGGAAAACACAGAGGTTTTCAATGGAAGCAGGAAACTGGCAACTCAATAAGATGGCAGCATGATGAACTGAAATCAGGTTTCTTTACTAAATCAAGATTCTTCTTAGAATTCTCCTCAGCTATTCTCAGTTAGGTGGAGATTCTGTATAAAGAATATTTCTTTGGAACTTTTTAAAAACTTTTTTCTAACTCACCGTACAGGATGGATTTGCATAGGGTGGATAGTAGACATGACCTCAGCTTTGGTGTGATTTATGTTTTAAATCACAGCAGTTTAATTTCGTTCATGTGAAAATGCACATATGTTCATAAAGGAGTGAGGAGGCACTATGCTTTTAAACGTGAAAAGCCTTGATGGGGAATAACAAGGTACTTGGGAGAATTTACCAACCGATAAAGAATATTCTGAAACAATAGAAAAGGAGGCCCAGATACGTTAACAGAGCAGAGTTTTTTTTAATCACCAAAAATTGCTATTAGAAAACAAGATAGGGCTGGCCCTGTGGCTTGGTGGTTAAGTGCGCGCGCTGCGATGCTGGCGGCCCGGGTTTGGATCCCGGGTGCGCATCGAGGCACCACTTCTCCGTTCATCCTGAGGCCGAGTCCCACATGCAGCAACTAGAAGGATGTGCAGCTACGACACACAACTATCCACTGGGGCTTTGGGGGGAAAAAATAAAATAAATAAAATCTTTAAAAAAAAAAAAAAAAGAAAACAAGATAATCTATTTTTTCTAGCTTTATCTTTAATTTTGTCTTTAAAATTTGAGCCTTCCTCAAATTCTACTTCTTTGGTGAAGTTTTCTCTCCCACTCTATTCTGAAATCTCTGTCTGAATTCCTACACACCATGTGAGTGTGTGGACTATAGGAATTAAGTACGCCAGCACTACCGGATTGCCCGGACTGGTGCCCTGGTTCCACCACGAACAAGCCAGCTAACCTTGGGCAAGCCTCTTGACCTCTGTTCACATTGATTTGCTCATCTGAGAAATGCAGACAATAGTAGTACCTGCTTCACGAGGTTATTATGAGTATTAAAATAGGAGATACGTGTAAAGCACATGTAAGCACTCAGTAAGCGGTGGCAGTTTGTCACCGTGTGCCACCTGTGCAGCATTTGATTATCTGTTGTAATGATTTGCCTTAACTACTTTCTAAGGCATGATACATAAACATTCATACAACGTGCACTGCAGTCTTTTTCCAGGCTTGGGTTTCATATATCCGGGTTTTGTTTGTTTGTTTGTTTCTGTGAGGAAGATTGGCCCTGAGCTAACATCTGTCTCCCATCTTCCTCTTTTTGCTTGAGGAAGATGGTCCCTGAGCTAACATCTGTACCAGTCTTCCTCTACTTTGTATATGGGACACTGCTACAGCATGGCTTGATGAGTGGTGTGTAGGTCCTCTACTTTGTATATGGGACATTGCTACAGCAGGGCTTGATGAGCGGTGTTAGGTCCTCTATTTTGTATGTGGGACGCCGCTACAGCAGGGCTTGATGAGCGGTGTCTGAACCCGTGAACCCCGGGCTGCTGAAGCGGAATGTGGGAACTTAACCACTATGCCACTGGGCCGGCCCCTGTTTGGTTGGTTTTTAGATATAAGTTGCCTGGGTCAGGACCTATATCATTTATCTTTTTTGTCTTTAATAGGCTTTATTTTTTAGAAGAGTTTTAGAAGTTTCACAGCAAAATTGAGTGGAAGGTAGAGTTCCCACATACCCTTGTCCCCACACACGCACAGCCTCTCCCATTGTCTACATCCCCCGCCAGAGTGGGACATTTGTTACAATTGATAAACCTCCACTGACACATCATTATCACCCAAAGTCCATAGTTTACATTGGGTTCACTCTTGGTGTTGTACATTCTATGGGTTTTGACAAATTTATGATGACCTGTAGCCATCATTTTAGTATCATGCAGAGTATTTTCACAGCCCTAAACATCCTCTGTGCTCTGCCTATTCATCTCTCCTTCCACTCCAGCCCCTGGCAACCACTGATCTTACTGTCTCCACAGTTTTGCCTTCTCCAGAATGTCATATAATTGGAATCATACAATATGGAGCCTTTTCAGATTGGCTTCTTTCACTTATTAATATGCATATACATTTCCTGCATGTCTCTTCATGTATTGATAGCCCATTTGTTGTTAGTGTTGAATAATATTCCATTGTCTGGATGTACCACAGTTTATTTATCCATTCAGCTACTGAAGGACATCTTGGTTGCTTCCAAGTTCTGGCAATTATGAATAAAGGTGCTGTAAAAATCGGTGTGCAGGTTTTTTTGTGGACATAACATGTATTTTTTATTTCCTATAGTCTCTTGTACAAAGATAAGGATTTTTAGCACTTAGAATTCTAGATCTTAGGTCTGAAAGGGACTTAGAAATAATGTATTAGATATAAAGAAACTGAAGACAAAAGGACATGGTGTTCACTCTCTAACACTGCTCACATAGTCCATTGTACTTCCTACTATGAAACTCTCACCTAAATGCAATGAAGATAATCTAAAAATTAGAATGACATTTTGAACATATTACCAAAGATTTGATGTGTTGAGAATAAGGACAGAGAATTATTGCACCAAATGATATAATCAATGGTTTTTCAAAAAGAATAAATTTAATAAGTTGTAGCCATGATTTTTTCTCATTGTTTTATAATTGCTTAATTATAACTATGATTTTTCTCCTAAAGTAGGCATTGTGCATTTTCAATTGTCTTTTGGTGAGTCGGGTTTTTGAATTTTTCCCAGTGGCCGATGCCCACTTTGAACTGAGCCCTGCTGTTTTCACAGGTTGTGGTGGGGAGTTGTCCGGGGACACAGGCTCCTTCAGCAGCCCCGGGTACCCCAATACCTATCCGCCCAACAGGGAGTGCATCTGGTACATTAGCACCGCCGCGGGGAACAGCATTCAGCTCACCATCTACGACTTCGATGTGGAGTATCATGCAAGCTGCAACTTCGACGTCCTGGAGGTAGGAATTTAGATTGCTTCTCAGCGCATTCCAGAATTGGGGGTAACACTGGAAATCGCTCTGCAAAAATCCCTAAATTCTTTCCAGTGGCCGGCAGTGTTCTCTTCTTAGACATTTTGATGAATGTCAGCCCTCCGTGAATTACATTTACAGACAAATGGGATCAATAGCTCAGTTTAGGTTTCCCTAAGAGCAGTCCTTGAAGGACTTGGTGGCAGGCAGGTTAACCAGGAGATGAGGCCAGGAAGCAGGGGTGAGGGAAGGTGGAGGAGGAAGAGCCAATGAAGGGAGTTCCTGTGGGCAGCTTGGGCTTAATCCCGCTGGGACCCTCTGAGGACCTATGAGGAGTGCTCCTCAGAATCATCACTCTCAGGACACGAGGCTGAGGCATCAGTCCCCCAATTCCCGTCCCCATTGATGGGGACTTGGGATTGTCAACACCCCACCCTTTCAGTATGAGAAAGCTCCCTCAGGAAAGGCAGTGGGGAGGCAGAGTGTAGAGAAGAGGTGGGTGCTTGGGGTGGGACATGGCAGTCAACAGAGGAATTGCCCCCCGCAGCTGCCATCTGAGGGGGGTCGACATGGTACAGGGCACAAAACACATCTGCTGCAGAAGGTTTTTGAAAAAATGGTCACTTAGAAAGTGTGAGGCATTTGAAGATAAGAACTTTTCCAATCCTACTGCAAAGGGTTTATCTCAGATAATTCAGACGGCCTTTTAGAATCTATTCTTTCTATTTTTTTTTTGGTGAGGAAGATTGGCCCTGAGCTTACATCTGTTGCCAATCTTCCTCTTTTTGCTTGAGGAAAATGGTCCCTGAGCTAACATCTGTGCCAATCTTGCTCTATTGTTTTTTTTTTGTACGTGGGTCACCGCCGCAGCATGGCTTCAAAAGTGGTGTGTAGGTCCACGCCCGGGATCTGAACTCGTGAACCCTGGGCCGCCAAAGTGGAGCATGTGAACTTAACCACTGTGCCACCAGGCTGGCCCCATGATCAGCTTTCTTTTGCAGGAATCTAGTCCTTAGGAGATGTATATGTGCATCTTTTGAACTTTGACTTGTCTGCAAAATTTAATGGCTTCCAAGTACACACAAAGCTCCTGTCACTTCAGCTATAGGGACTGCCATTACACATCATGAAAAGTGTTCTACATCTAGTAGAACTTAAGCTCCAGGAGGGCTGGGTATTCGTCTGCTTTGGCTTTGTTTTATTTTACTGTTATACCCCTAGTGCCACAGAATACTTGGCAAATAGTTGACGTTTAACATATGTTTGTGGAATGAATGAAAGCATCCAAATCTCTGACTGACGCACCATAATCATGCAATTTGTGGAGGTGTCAAAGGGATTTTTACATCCATTTTCCCATTTGAATGTTAAAAAATCCTGTGAGGTTAGGGGGGAATTTTTACCCTTTCTCCTTTTTACCGTTGTCGAAACCGAGGCTCAAAAAGATTGGTGGGTTTTCCCATGACCACAAGGATGGTGCGGGGAAGAGCTAAGCACTGAATTTATCCACTCCTCAACACTCCGTGTAAGCCAGTGTGAAAAGACAGAGGTGAGCAGTGTGCAAGACGTGGAAATGAGTGGTATATACTTTATAGGGATTTTAACGCTTAAAAGCTTTATTTTGGGCCGCCCAGTGACATAGTTAATTTTGTGCACTCCGCTTTGGCAGCACGGGGTTCGCGGGTTCGGATCCCAGGTGCAGACCTACACAGGGCTCATCCAGCCATGCTGTGGCGGCATCCCACGTGCAAAATAGAGGAAGATTGGCATAGATGTTAGCTCAGGGACAATCTTCCTCACCAAAAAAAAACCCAAAAAACAAAAAAACCAACAAAAGCAAAAACTTTATTTCATTACCAAACAAGTTCTTTCCTTGAAGAGAAATGGGGTTCTCAAATCACGCCCTCCCTGTGTGGGTGCAGAGTCACCAGGAATTGCATTTAGCAGCTCGTCACCCTAAAACAAGATAATGCTGCAGTAAGTGAAACCAGAGACAGGGCTGGTGAGTCCTTGAGCTAAAACCCATACCCTTGTCTTCCTGTAAGTACATTGCTGAATCAGGACTCCATCTCAGAGAGGAACAGCTTTTCAGGAGGAAAGAACAAGGTGGCTCCTGAAATTCACACTCACAGTACGAAGTAGAACAGCACTCACACGTGGAATGTTCCAGCGGTCTCCCTTGCTAGCAAGGATATTTCTCAGTTGCATAAAACCCCCTGACACTTACAAAGGGCTGGCAGCAGACTTTTCCGCTGTAATGTGAAATGATCCTAACCCTTCATTTTCATATTCCAAAGCGCATGTGATTGTTTGCCCACTTGGCAAAATGTAAATGGGTTCATTGTGCTTTGGGTCTTGTCACACCCGTTACGTGAGAAAGCAGAGATTGGGGCTGTTCCCCGCAAGCAGCCTCGGGGAGAGAGGGACAAAGCAGAGTCTCCAGGCAGCAGCATTCAAGCAGAGTCCTGTGCCTGCACAGGAAGGGCCGTAAGAAGAGGCTGCAGTCTGCTTGGGGCTTGTTTTTATTAGAACAAGGTGGCCTCCTGTGTTCCGTCAACATCAGGGTTTGGGGGAATATTTTGAGCCCCTTAAATAACTTGGGAAAGTCTTTTTTCTTAAGGCTGAAATGAGTAACCTCCTTTTTGTTAAAAAACTGTCTGACATTTCTGCAAATGCTCAAGTTAGATGGAAAGTGCTGTAATAAATTTGGGCTAATGATTATAAACGATTTTTTCCATCCCTCATACCATAGATGCTGATAACATGTTAGCAACAGGTTTCAAAATTTGGGCGAGTGGCCCAGAAACATTGCTTTCTTGACTGATCTGTTCTCGGCCTGCACATTATCCTTTCCTGTTCTGCTAGGCACAGCCAAGTAGGACCGCACTGTCACCAGTAGGCTTACCTCCATTGCACCAAATTTAACCAGGAGCCAATATTTTTTTCCCTCAAAAATCAGTGTCCTGAGAGCAGCCAGTTGCATTAAGCAACAGCCGTTTCGTTACTCATAACCCTGGAATGCTGACTTGATTATAACAGTAAATGGAGCTAACAGAGCAGAAAGAAATGTTCAAAACAGATTAAAACCATAGGCTTTGAAAAGTTCTATATCCTGAGCATTTGCTAAAAACAGGTTTCTTTAATCTCTGATCATCAGACCAGTTCTTTTCCCCCCAAAGTTTAGTCATATGCTGTAGTCGAATGAACCACACCCTGAAATTCTTTCCATCTTTTTCCTCTTTTGAAGAGTCATGCCCTAACTATTGGTTTTATTCGTGGAAGCCAAAAGTACCATTTTATTGTTTTGGTCGTGGAAACACTGGCTGATTTGACTCGAGTCTCTGAGAAAGGAGCCTGAACTGGCATATAGCAGAAAAGGAAATCCACCCCTTGGTGCAATAATGCAAGACAATTGCCTGGTGTGGGCAGCTAGCTCCCTCTGGTCTCTCTGCGATGGTCTTTTGTGAGCCCAGCCCAGTAAGAGGGGAAGCAAAGAAGGTCAGAAGCGGCAGTGTTTATTCTTCTGGAGGCTTCTAGGCCCAGCCAACTCATACCCGTTATGTTTGTGATCTCAAGGGGACCCTGAGCAGGGAAAACAAAGACTATTTTGCCGACGCGCAAGTTTTCTTTGTTAAAACTAAACCCTGGTGCTCAATGTTCTCTCCAAATACGTGCTGCTTGCTGGCCTCGGATGATTAGGAGCACATGCTGTCGCTTTCATGCTCTGAGGACTGTGCCCTGGGCGAGAGGGGGTCGGGGATCTTGAAAATGAGAAAGGATGCTTTAAACCAGAAGGATCTCGTTTCTTCTATTTGCGTATGTGTACGTGTAAAGGGCCACACAGGGCTCCTCCTAACGTCCTGCTTTGGATGGGACTTTGGGGGCCGCACAAACATAGCTCCTCCTAATGAAAATAAGCATGAAGCAGCCAGCCTGCTTCATTCCTCTGCAATTACCGTCCTTGTGCTCAGCCCTCTGCGGAACAGCGGCTTCATTCTCTTTGGCCTTTCCCGCGTGGCTGGGGGGAGTTCATCAGACAAAGAAGTCATTATAGATTCAAATCACATACTGCGCACCAAGAGCAGGCTTCTTGTTCTCACTCTCTCCCCAGAGAACACTGGAGTGATTCCCCTATCAGTCAACAGCCCCGAGGGTGGGCAGGGGCCCGCCTGGGGTCTGAGGAATGGGGGGAGAGTGCACGGAGGTGGGAGAGCCACGGGGATGGTAGAGGAGGGAGGATGCGGCACACAAATCTCTCAGAGCGCTGCTTTCCCATTCTGGTTCTGACCCTGGGTATAGACTTATGTGCCCGTACATCTATGGGAGGGGGAGGGGCCCAGATACCAATATGCCTGAGCACTGTCACCCCAAATGGTCTTTCTTCTACAAATTCAAGTTTGGCAAGACCTGAAGGTAGGGGGTCAGTATCTTCTGTTTGATTCTTATCTTCCCTTCACTGCCCCTCCCCACCACCCGCACACACACTGGATAAGCAGGTCCCAAGAGTGATTGAGAAACCTGTGTATGAGGTGTCCTGGAGGCTCTGCCTGGGCTGGGCTAGACTTGCCTGCAAGGTGCTGGATGTGAGACCAAGGGGACACTGGCTTGGAGGAATGTGTCACAGCGGTATTGGATCCCAGTCAGATAGATAGTTGCAAACTGGAGGAGCCCAGGAGACCTGAGGACAAGTGAGATGGATCTAGAGGGAACCATCCAGATACTGAAGCAGAGTCCAGGCAATTCCTGAGTGGAAGATGGATGCTCTTGGTCATGTTCCTGTGAGTAGGCATGCTGGGAGTAGGTTCAGAGAGAATCTATAGGATTCCCTTCCTGAGGACACCACAGAACACACTGATAGAGGTTATATTTTCATATATAAATGCAAAAATATTATATTAAATGCCTAATCTTATAAAATACTCAGCTTGCAAAGTGGAAAATCCTAAAAATGTAATGAGGAGATCAGTAGCCCTCAATAAACTTAGTTTTCACAAACAAAATGGCTTTGTGCTAAGACTGTTCCTATGTGCCTAGAAGAGTTAGAAAATCAGACCTGATGCTTTGTTATCTGCAGTCCTCTGACAAAGAAAGCAGGGAGTCCTGTGAAGACATGAAAAAGAGGAAGAGGGGAGATAGAGAAGATTCTGGAATAATCTCTTCAGTTCAGTTCTACAATTCTGGCTGACGGAACGAGCAGGCATTTCGTGGATGGTTGAGCTTGTCTGTTCTTAGGGCAGAGGGAGTGCCTCTGAAAATCCAGGTCAAGTTTACAGTTCATCCCCACCCAGGGAGGCTGAGATTTCAACCTCCAATGATAATAAAATCCAAGAGCTGGTGGTAAAAAGGAGTCAGGAGAAGGGCTGTAATAGCTTAAATATGTCTCTTGATTTAAGCCCTTTTTGTATCTCTCATCGTAGGTCTATGGAGGCCCTGATTTCCACTCTCCCAGAATAGCCCAGTTGTGTGCCCAAAGATCATGGGAGAATCCCATGCAGGTCTCCAGCACTGGAAATGAGCTGGCAATTCGATTTAAGACCGACAGCTCCGTAAATGGGAGAGGCTTCAACGTCTCATGGCAAGCAGTCCCTGGAGGTGAGTGAACCAAGGAGGTATCTCAAAATACTTAAGCTGAGCCGTTGTTAAATTTCATGAAATGATTGGAGAGAAGTATGAAGGCTATATCCTGACAACTTTGTGACTTCTCAAATGGCGAATGCTGCTTTGGCATATACTCTTCCCTAAAAAATGTGGTAGAATTTAACTTCTGAAGTGTCACCTTGTATGTGAAAACTAGTCCGTGCAAGTATGCAAGTCCATGGTGAAAGCAGGGTGATTGGTTAAACATTACTTATTCTCCAGGGATCTTGTGCCTGTTCACCAGCCTCAAATTTGGGCATCAGCAAAGTGGTAAATTACTTCATGCTATAGTATGGACCTTTGGATGCTTGGCAAACGCCAAAACTGTACACGTTAAATTTGTGTTATGCCATGGAATTGCCATGTGTTATAACACATGTGCCTGTCTGCCCAAGATCTTAGGCAGTCTAAATAAATTACCTGCTGCAGATTTTTTAAATAAAAAATTAATGCACAAAATATTTTAGCAGGTGTTAACCTATACAATACTAATAACAGCCAAGTTTATTGAATGTTTACTATGTGCCAGTTACTTTTCCAACTATTCTCCAAGGGCTATCTCATGGAATCCTCACAACCACCCTATGAGGGGAGTTTATTTCATGTCTTCATCTCACTAATGAGGAGATTGAAGCTTAGAGAAGTTAGTGACTTGTCCAAAGTCACACACTAGAAAATGCCAAAGCAGAGATGTGACCCCAGGCTACCTTAAGGCCCTACTTCTAGAACTCTAAGGTAATGTAGTAAGTATGTTAGGTCTCTCCTAAAGTTAACCATGCATGAATTTAATGAGAATTATATAATTATACATACATAGTGTTCAGATAACCCCAAAATGATTCTCATTTATTAGAAAATAATACTAAATTTTTCCATGGATATACTGGTTTATATCATCGTAAACCCAAGAAATGACGGGTCATAGAGGTAGACATTGATAGGTATTTGATAATGTCATAGGAATAAAAAAACTGTACCAGGTCCAGAATATTAAATTTTAAAAGGCAGATATTAAATTATTTATAAAAGCATACAATCCTGAATTATCAAAATTCTTGGAAGGAGATGTGTTATTCTTACAGTATGCTATATTATTAGAGAACAATGAAGGGGCACTTCATGGCTTTATGAAAATATGATTTCATTTGCACTTATTTTTCAGTATTTTTAAAATAACTTCGGCGTCAGTATTTAAAGGATTTGAAGTATTTTCTTAGTCATCTTTCTTCGTTTGTCGAGATGAGTGAATTAATGGTGGATATTCAGTTCTTCAGAATGTTTAGCATAAACTACGTAAAACTGGTAGTCAAAAAAAGTAGCATATTGTTCTGTGCTACCAGGTAATGGTGTCAAGTTTTATGCCTCAGGGATTCCTCTCATTATTGCATTGGGTTTCCCACCTACAGGTTGTGGTGGGATTTTCCAGGCTCCCAGTGGAGAGATTCATTCTCCAAATTACCCCAGTGCTTCTAGAAGTAACACTGAGTGTTCCTGGGTCATTCAGGTGGAAAGAAATCACCGTGTTCTTTTGAACTTCACTGACTTTGACCTTGAACCTCAGGACTCTTGTATTATGGTAAGTGACATAAATTTCAAGCATCGGCTCTAGTCAAACCTGAGTCAAAACATTGCCCTATGAACGTATTTAGTGAATGTATTAGTTATGGCTGTTTTCAGTGTCAAATCATAGGAAACCAAACTATGGCAACGTAAAATATAAGGACATTTATTTTTTATCTAAATACAAATAGGGAGGTAGATAATCTCGGAGTTTGTTTAGCAATTAAGTTTCTGCTCTACCATTCTTAGTGTGTTGCCTTTTCATTTCATTTTGTGTTTGTTACCTCATGGTCAGAAAATGGCTGCAGCAGCTCTGAACATCCTGTCAGGAGTTCAAAGCTGGAGAGAGGGAGAGGGAATAGTGTTAGGTGTTTCCATTTTGTTTTTTTTTTTAATCAAGAAAGCAAAGTTTCACAGAAGTTCCCTTAGATGTCATTGGCCAGAATTGGCTGCAAGAGAGATTTGGAAAGTATAGTGGAATGGATTTATCATAACTACTTTAAATCAATTATTATTAAGCCTCTGGGGGTTCTCACAGGGTTCTACTCTTCTTGAGATCAGGATATCTCGATCTGCTACCTGAACAAATCAGTGTCTGATAAGACAGATTAGTTTGGAGTTGAGGGTGGAGGAGAAGGGATATGGCTATTAGTTGATTAGATGACAAAGTTTCTGTTACTACCAATTACTTGAATACATTCTCATCTGAAACTAATGCTTTATGCTTAATGTAGAAGTGAGTGAGGTTTTATTTTGAGGCTTTCTTTTTCTCTTTTAGCTTAATTTTTTGGGTTACCTGATTTTTTTAACAAAAGATTTTCCATCTTTCATTTGTATTTAGAAACATTTCATTCAAATATAAACCAGATTCTCTTGGAAAATGGATCTTTTTATTTCAGTTTCCTGGCAGTTTGTTACACAACCTCCAACTGGCTAGCTTTCAAATTTAACTTAAGAAAACCCAAAAGTTGTTTCACATTTTTCGGAGTAATCCAGTCTAATGGTATGATTTCAAGTATTATTTTACAAGATTAGATCATTAATCTACTTAAAAGATCGGTTGATTTATGACTATGTATTAACCTTCTAAACGAGTCTTCAGGGTCTAAGTTGGAAAAACATTATACAAACTTAAGGTATAGGACATTCACTTTCCATGATGGTAGCTTGGACCAACTCTCCTGACAGAGACTATTTAACAATTTTGGATGATATTTTAAAACATCTTCCTAAATGCAGCAAAGAACTCACAAGGCAGTATGAAATTGCCGAGTTAATAACTGAGAAAGATATATGCCTAGTCTTTGGGACTGCTTTTGCCTGTAGGGTGTTTGATGATCCAGAAGGGATTAGCCACACTTCTCAGAGCCTTTCAGGACAAAGAGGAACAAAGTTTGAGTCTAGGCCCTGAATAGAATGGAAGTCCTGGTAAAGCATCCCATATCCTAGGTAAAATGAAAGTAAAACAGCCTTCACAGAGACAGTATCCCAGCTTCAAGTCACCTGACTGGCCCCCAAAATATCAAGCCATGGAATAATGAGAGGGAACTCCATATTGCTAATGTATCTAGGCATTGGACATCTAGCCAAAGCAATTTAAAATCTTCAAGGAGGTAAGATCATCCTAGACCTCATTTCTACAATAATTTTTCATATGCAATAGCCAGCACACTATTGAAGATATTCGTGTATGTAAGGAGATAATATAACATCTATGAAATATAACATGAATAACAGACAATGGAAACAAACTAATATGTGAGATTGGTAAACAACTATAATTACTAAACTCATGGAGATAAAAGTCATAGGTAAAACTCTCAGCAAGAAACTGCAAACTATAAAAAAATGACACTGCAAATATGAAAAAGAGCCAACTAAAAATTTTAGATAAATTTTTTTTTATATTGTATTAGATAAATATAACAGCTGACATTAAGATCTCAGTGGAAGTGTTTTTGGCATATTAGACAGATTAGACAGAGATGAAGAGAGAAATAGTGAACTGGAAGACAAGTCAGAAGAATCTATTGAGGAAAAAGCACGGATAAACAGAAGGAGAGGTTAAGACACATAGGGGCACTTATAAATTTAATTGTAATCATTTAAAATACATTTGCATACATTTAATTGTAATCCGATAAGGAAAAGGGAGAGATAAATGGAGCAGAAGCAGTATTTGAGGAGCTAATGACTAAGACTTTTCCAAACTGTTGAAAGAAAATTTACAAAAACAAGAATCCCAAGGAACTCAAACAGCCAAATAAATAGAAATAAATAGAAAGACATACTTATCTAAAAAACTTAAAGATAAAGGAAAAATATTACAATCAGCCAGGAGAGTGGGTGGGTGGGAGAACAGGTCGCCTTTTAAGAAGTGGCAGACTTAATGTCGACTTTTCAACAGTGATAATTGGAAGCAGAAAAGACAATGGAATAGTATCTTTAGTTTGAAGAAAGAAAATAACTACCCATCAGGAACTCTATGCTCTCTTAAAATAGCCTTTAAGAATAAAGGTGAAATAAAGGGTTGAAGCAGAAGAGGTGCCTTCAAGAAAAGTTTGAATGGGCTAAAGACAAATTGTCTACCTCATGGTTTTGTCTGCAGTGGGCATGTCTCCACTATTTTCTCTCTCTCCCAGTCTGTATGGTGCCAGGTATGGTTTCTTCCCTTCTGTAAAGTCCATAATCCATAGAATTCAACATACAAAGGTGTGTGAACAAAACAAAGCCTAGGTCAAAGGCTTGCCCAGCATGGCTACATTTTTTCCTTCCTGTGATCATGAGTAGGGTTTTCCACCTACATGAGACATAAATATAGAGACAGGGTTTTTTATTAACTGCTGCCATATCTCAGCATGCAGCTGGGCTGGACTTAACAAACTGTAGCAGGGGGCAACAGATAGGAGGATGTGAAACCTCAATTATAATCTGGTCATAGGCATGGAGACAGGAAAATAAACCCAAAGCCAGGTGCTGGGAGGAGTCCAGTCTGGCAGATAAGGTAAATACAAAATGTAATAGTCCAAACAAGTTGTCAGAATCAGAGAATTCTGTAGGAAGTAGGTGGGGTACTCCCGCCAGTGGGCTGATGGGGCATTCAGAAGGAGATGCCACTAAGCACCTGAGCAAGATATTGATATAAAAAGTCAACTGTACCCACAGCGTGAGTCAGCATGGTTCCATGGTTAAGAAATCTAGCTCTGTGGTGGGGTGGACCTGGAACTGAGCCCAGATTTTGCCATTTTCTAGCTGTGTTGCCTGGGAGAAAGTGAATCTTTCAGCGTCAGCTTCCTTAACTGTGAAATGGGGATAATAAGAATACCTGTGTCAGATTTGTTGTTGGGATATTTAAGATTCTCTAAGTGACCTGCTTGTCAGATAGAAAGTTCTCGATTTGTGCTGGCCATGATGATAATGATGCCGATGGTGAGTGCCCTGAGAGGCAGGTTCAAAGAGCCACCGGAAGAGGGAGGTGGCATGGAATACCAGGAGGAGCAGTGGGCTTAGGAGCCAGGGCTTCCCGTCTGTGATCCTGGGCCTCAAGGTCTTCAGGAAAAGAAGAACTGACTTCTGAGCCTCTCTTATAGCACAGCACCTAGCATTTAGTGTACCTAGGACTCAACAACTGTAATAGTAATCATGAGAAAACAGAAGGAGTGATTCATCTGGGTCCAGAAGCCAGTGAAAGTGTCGCACTGGAGATGACATTTAAGTGGCAGAATTTCACTAGTGGAAATGTGGCAGTGAGGCAGGACAGGAGGCTTTGGGGAAAGAATGCGGGAAATTGTGCACAGAGGTATGAACATGCACGGACATTCGGGAATAAGAAAGGAGAGTGTTGTGCCTGGACTGCAGCTCTGTGTTGGGGAGCGTGTGGAGACCAAGGGTCTACAGAAGACATCCAAATTGGACAGACTCTTTTATGCTCTGGTGAAGAATTTGAAATTATCGTACAGATAGAATGAGGTTGTTGAAAGTTTTCTGTAAAACAGAGGAATAATAGATTCAAAACTGTATTTTACAAGGACAAGAAGCAGTCATGTAGGGGCCGGGTTGGCAGAGAAAGAGCAAGATGGCATAATGGCTGTTTGAAAAGCTACGGAAAAACCTTGCACACTGGTCTTGGGAGTGCAGAGAAAGAGACATATTGGAGAACTCTTATGGTCATATAGTTACCAAAATTTAGAGGCTAATTATATGGTAGAGGATGAGGTGGGTGGTAGAGGGGGGGGTTAAGACTATTCATTTGAAGAGTGGGTGAATGACGATGCCATTAAGTAAGTGAGTAAAGGGGTAGACTACAATGAGTTTGATTTGGAAACTTTTGAGTTTAAAAGTCAAAAGTTTACAAACACTATGTCCCTTATAGAGTGCAACGTATGAGTTCAGTGCTCAGGATGGGGTCTGAGCTGGATATATACATTTGAGGATAATTTCTGTATATTTGGTGGTGTTAAAGCCACAGAAGTGGGTGTGTCATTTATAGGAGTATTTTGTAAAGAGAAAAGGGCCACGTAGACTCTTTGGGAAACATCACCATTTAAGGGGCAAATGGAGGAACAGAGGAAAAGGAGACTGAGAAATGTACTCAGAGAGGTAGGTGGAGAACCAGAAGAGAGTGAGAGCATAGAAACCGAGAGTGAAGCCAATTTTAAAAGAGTAGATGATCAAAGGTATCAAATCCAGCAGAGGTCAACTAGGATGAGAATTGAAACAAAACCACTGAATTGGGTCTTTGATGACCTTGTAAAGAACAGGATTGTTGTGGGTAGTAGTGGAAGACTCCGGATCACAATGGGTTAGGAGGTGCAGGAGATTCTTAGCTTTTCCCCAGAATTATGGAAGTAAATGTCATAGGGGGATAAAAGATCATAATCTATGGGTAGGGCAAGATCAACGGAAGGTTGTTGTTTTTTTAATGATGGAAAAGCTTAAGCATGTCAAGAGGACAAGGTACTGGTGGAAAAAGAGCAGCTGGATGCAAGAGATAAATGGAATAACTGATGAAGTTGT